TGAGGTGGATTGATTCAGTGACTGGGATAATTGGGATGGGAGTGTCAGAGACAGTGAGATTGGCACAGGGCAGAGCGGAGTTTAGGGCTGTTGTACATAGGGTCGCTATGAGTCGCAAGTGACTTGACGCCACATAACAACAACAACAACAACAACATATTGTCTTGTTATTGACAGCGTTGTACTTCAGTATAGAGTTTGAAGTGTTCTTTTGACCCTGACTAGATAACCACGCGCTCATTCTCTCCCTGCCTGGGAATGGATTCTGACTCACAGCAGCCTCCATCGGGTTTCTGAGGTTGTAAATTGCCATGGGAGGAGACTGTCCATCTTTCTTCTTAAGAAATGTTGGATAACACCCACCAGAGGTGCATGACCTTTGGGTTAGCAGCTAAAGGCACTATATATGCCACCTTCAGTTTATGATTGCTAGCATGGTAGACCATATGAATGTTTAATTCAGAATGGCCAGTTCCAGCCCATTTCAGCTTAATAATGTCTGTTGTTGTCAAATCTCCAGTGGGTTCTCAGAGGCAGTAAATTTTTTTCTTTCTCCAGTGGAGCAGCTGGCGGATTTAAACCTCAGGCCTTTGGTTGGCAGCGCAGTGCCTTACTACTAAGCTACCAGCGCTCCCTCAGTAATGTCTAGGATATCTGTGTTTATACATTCCATTTCACTTAAACAACTTCCAGTTTTCTTAGAGTCGTTGAATACTTTCCACATTCAGATTATTCATAGATGTTTGCAACTGTTTTTCCTAATTTCAAGTCTTGCTGCAAATGTAGATCCTTCACTGGGTGAAAGCTTGACTCCATCCATGGTCACTTAGGTTGAGGAAGCAACTCTTCCCTAGTCATGTTTTCATTGCCTTCCAACCTGAAGGCCTCCTTTTCTGGCATTTTATCAGACAGTGTTCCACTGATCCTCACAGGATTTTCAAGGGCCCGTTATTTCAAAGCAGGTGACCAGTCCTGCGTCCTGCCCAGTCTCTCTTAGTCTGGAAGTCCCGCTGAACCCAGTCCACCAGGAGTGACCCTGCTGGTGTTTGAAATAACAGTGGCCTAGCTTCCAGCCACACGGAAGCCACCGCACGATGACAGATGGACAGGCGAGCGGTAATGGCTCCGTCGGGTCCTCTTCCTGTTTAATGCAATCTGTCTTTTCACAGACACTGTCTGTGTTTATAGCCCGTCTCGTTACAGCCTCATCTCCATCCTCCCGCCTTTCACTAACCCCTCCTGACCTTCTTCCTTCTGTCTTTGGACTTTTGATGTTGACATACTTGCCGTCTTCGTCGTTTTCTTTTTCTTTACAAATCCTTGTTTTGTGATGGTCATGAAGATACATAAAATTTTTTTATTTTTCTGTTTATTAACAGAAAGGAGTGGTTTGTAATAATTCATAAAATATTAAATATAATCAGTTGCCACTGTGTGCTCTTAAGATTTTCTATTTACACCAGCCTTAGAGAAAACAGTAGCTCACATTTTAATGGAAAGTTTTGGGTAAACTATCTTTTTCTTTAATCATTGTAATCTGTTTTCTATCATTTTCAGGATTAGAATGGCTGAACACAGAAGGACCTATTTCTGTCTACAAAGATCTATGTGGAAAAGTGGTCGTCCTTGATTTCTTCACCTACTGCTGCATAAACTGTATTCACCTGTTGCCTGATCTCCACCAATTAGAACATAAATATTCTGATAAAGGTATGTTTCCTTTAATGTCTTTCTAAGAAACTATCTTTGCTGGGCACTGAAAGATTAGCTTCTTTATTTGTCTATTTGCTCGGCTCCACGGTCAACACTCTTGGCACCAGTAGCCAGGAAATCAAAAAACGTATTGCGATGGGAAAGTCTGCGGTTAGGGACCTCTCTAAAGTACTCAAGAGCAATGGTATCTCTCTGGAGACTTAAGGTCCGCCTGATACAGGCCATGGTTTTTGCAATCACTTGTTATGCATCAGAGAGTTGGACAATGACTAGGGAGGATAGAAGGAGAATTGACGCCTTTGAGCTGTGGTGCTGGAGAAGAGTATTGAATGTACCATGGACTGCCAAGAAAACAAACAGATTCATCGTAGAGAGGATTAAACCAGGCTGCTCCTTGGAGGCAAGGATTCTGGGGCTTCGTCTGACATACTTTGGACATGTTGCAAGGAGAGACAGGTCTTTGGAGAGGGACATCATGCTGGGTAGAGTAGAGGGACAGTGCAGGAGGGGAAGACCCTCTGTGAGGTGGATTGATTCAGTGACTGGGGTAATCGGGATGGGTGTGTCAGAGGCAGTGAGATTGGCACAGGATAGAGCAGGGTTTAGGGTTGTAGTACATAGGGTCGCTATGAGTCGCAAACGACTCGACGGCACATAACAACAACAACAACAATAAAAAAGAAAATGAACATCAAAATGTAAGTGATTCTAAAAGTAATTTTTAATCTAAGAATTAAGGACACCCTGTGCTTTTTCTTAGGAGCCCTAGTGGCATAGTGAGTTTAGCATTGATCTGCTGACTAGAAGTTCGTGATTGACATCACTAGCCGCTCAGTGGGAGAAGGACGAGGCAGTCTTCTTCTGTAAACATTTACTGCCTTCGAATCCCTGAGGGACAGGTTTGCTCTGTCCTGTATGGTCCCTAAGAACTGGATTGACATGATGGCTTTGCGGACCTTTCCACAGAGGATTAAGCTTACTGATAATGCCTTGCCTACTTGGAAAAAAACCCCACCATTTAGCATGTTTTTGTCAGAGATTAAGGGTATAATTTCCTTTTTTAAAATGATAGGCTTTCAAAAGGTCTTTCTTAAATGTCTAGACTGACCAAAATTGTGCTCTATGGGGGAAAAAAGTGAATGACCTTAATTTTATTCTCTTTCCACTGTGATAAAAGATTTTAAAGTTTCTATGAGAAAATGTAATTAGACTTATATTAATTTCAGATGGCATGAGCTTCAGTATAATTAAAAATATTATAAATATTATAGCAGATACTTTTTCTTTGTCCTTGGGGTATTAAAAATAGTTTATAAATATGAATGTTTTCATGGCAATTGGAAGTTTCTTTCTTAGGATATTAGAAATTATGAAGATGGAAGAGCTTACTCTAAAAGTTTTAAGGAATATTTTCTCTATCTGTTTACCTCTTTCTAAAAAGAGAACAAAGGGAGAAGAGAAACTGATAGTTACAGTCATTTCTGTCTGAAGTCACTGAAGCTTTCTTCTTGGAGTGGGTAGAAAAAAAAAGAATAGCTGATCTTATTTAAGTAAAGACAGGAATAGAATGTATTTGTATAAAAAATCTTGAAATTTAGTTAAGAAAAAGAGTTACAGAGAAAATTTTCAGTGGGAGTAGAATTGCCCAGCTGTAAGATTTAATGAGAACTCAGATGTTCCCCATAGTTAACTATGCAAAGTCACTCAGCTTTGTAAATCATAGCAAATTATGGGTATCATTGCAAATAATGGGGATTATCAAACACTTACTTATGCTGATATGGAGGCTGTACTTAGACCAAGAGACAGTTATTTGAACAGAATGAGAAAATACTCTGGTTTTAAAATTAAGGGTGTGTAGAAGGGCTGTATCTTTTTACCATGTCAACAACCTGCAAAATGCAGCTGCTAGAACCTTGCTTTCAGTTACTTGCTATGCATCTGGGAGCTGGACAGTGACTAAGGGTGACAGACGATGACGTGATGCTTTTGAGTTGTGAGGTTGGCAAGGAGTATTGACTATCCTGTGGACTGACAAAAGAATAACCAAATATGTCTTGGACAGAATACAACCAGAGTCCTTCTTGGAGGCAAGGATGGTGAAGTTTCATCTTACATACTTTGGGTATGTTGTTAGGAGGGGGCAGTCTTTGGAAGAGGGTGTCATGCTGGGAAAGGCAGAAGGACAGGGGGAGACCCCTGACAAGATTGACTGACGCAGTGATTATAACAGTAGGTGTGAGCATATCAGAGATTGTGGGGATGGCACAGCAAACAGTAACATCAAGTCAAATGGAGTAAAGATTGAACTTGTCAAGAATTTCATTTTACTAGAGTCCATAATCAGTGCCCATGAAGGCAGCAGTCATGAAATCAAATAGCATATTATACTGGACAAAGCTACTGCAAAAGATCCCTTTACATTTTTTAAAAGAACATGACACTTTGAGAACTAATGGGCCCTTGGCCCAAGCCATGATACTCCATCTCACTGAAGATCTTCCTCTTCTTCTCCAGCCGTCTACCTTTCTAAACATCGTGTTATCCAGGAACGGGTCCCTCCTGATAGCGTGCCCAGAGTATGTGAGACAAAGTCTCACCATCCTTGCTTCTAAGGAGCACTATGGCTGCACTTTGTTCCTTGGCAACTTTGGTTTTTGACAATTCGTGGTTTGCTCTGTGTTCTTTGCCAATACCACAGTTCAGAGGTATCAATTCCGTGTTCTTTTTTCATTGTCTTAACTTTTACATGCCTCTGTATACTTCTTTAAAACAACATGCTTTGTAAGTAGTCTTAACAATATAGTTTCAAAGAAACATTGCCATATTGAAATATACTATCTGAAAATGGAATTAACTTAGAAGTAAAGATATTTATATTGATCAACCGTAAGTGTAACTAATATTCACAGAAGCAAGCATACCAAGGGCTCATCACATAAGAGTTCAATAAGTTGTCCCTAAATTAAATTTGCTTTCTCCGAGCTAAATATCTTGTCCTATTACTGTCTGATGTATTTCTGAACATATCTGCCAGCAGGACTATTTATAATCTTGAGACAACGGTTGCCAGCCTGTTTTAAATTCCATAGACTATTCAAGTCATTTTATCAGTAAGCCAGAACAGCTGAGTGAGAAAGTCCTTACTGATTCAGAAACACCCTGGAAGATGCCCAGTTTTGTACCCAGTGTCGTCCTCTATTAAATAGCTTTTAACTAGTTCTAACTGGTTTATCATTGTGACTAGTGTTACTTTCATAATTGTTATTAGTTAGATGCCATCAAGTTGAGTAGGACTTATAGTGAACCTATGAACAACAGATCTGAGCCCTGTCCTATCCTGTGCCATCCTCACAAGCTATGACACACTTGAGCCCATTGCAGCAGTCCGTCCACCTGGTTGAGGGCCTTCTCTTCCGCCATCCTTCCACCTTCCCAAGTATGATGTCCCTCTCCCATCAGTAGCCTCTCCTATCACATGGCCAAAGTATGTGAGGTGAAGTTTAATCATCTTTGCCTCCACGGAGCACTCTGGCTGCACCTTCTCCCAAGACATAGCCATTTGTTCTTTTGACTGTCCATGGGATCTTCAGCACTCTTCTCCAGTACCACAGTTCAAAGGCTTCAGTTTTTCTTCTGTCGTCCTGGCCAGCTTTCAGCAGCGTAGCAAGTGATTGAAAAGATCATGGCCCGAATACAGCGTACCTTAGTCCTCAACTACCATCATTGCTCCTCAGTAATTTGGAGAGGTCCCTGACTGCAGACTTTTTTAGTGCAGTATGTCTTTGGATCTCCTGACTACTGGTACCAGATGTATTAATTGTGGATCCAAGTAAGATGAAGTTGTTGACAGTTTGAATCTCTTCTCCATCCGTCATGGCCTATAGCGTCAGTGGTGAGAATTTTTGTTTTATTGCCATTGAGATACAATTAATATTGAATACCTGAACACACTTTCATAATAAAACAAAAGAAACTAAAAATGCCGATGTTAAGACAATAAATTTACTTACTAGTAATTTTTTTACCAGTAATTTACTAGACATGTTGCTAGGAGAGGCTGTTCCTTGGAGAG